CTAAAATCTTAAATTTAAAATCTAAAATCTTAAATATAAATAACAACAAAATTACATTCTCCTTTAATCATATCAAATCAAATTATTTCTCTTCTTCAACAAAACAACAGTACAATATTTTAGTATTTAATAAAGGAGAACAATTCAACAGGCCAGTGAACATCCATTCAAACACAATAAATAATCAACAAAGAGAGAGTTTAATCATATGTAAGATTATTTCTTTTTCAATTAATTGATTTTCAATGAATAAAAATTATTATTATTATCATGCAATTATAGTAATTGTTTATTTCCTTTTTACTGAGCAATCAAAATAATAATATCTTCATTCAGCAATTTTGACTTCAAAATGCACAAATCAAAATATTTACATTTTGATGTATTGTGTTTCTTTTATAAAAAAATATGATGATAAATGTAATCACGGACAACATATTTTCATACTGTTATGAAATTATATAAAATTAGAAGATGAATAAAGTAGAGCAAAGTATAAAAATTTTCTTATTCATCTTGAAGTATAGTCATGATTCATTGATCTTCTTTACAATGAAGGAAAATCCTTTATTTATAGGGAAAACTTAACATTGTTCCCAAGTAGGCTTCCTAACCATATCCTAAAAAGACTCCACATAATTAGACATTCATTATAATACAAATTGTTTATAACACTCCGCCTTGAATGTCGGTAGATTATGTGCCTCGTTAAAACCTTACTAAATAAAGCTCAATGGAAAAAAAGATCTAGTGAGGAAAAAGAGTACTTATATATAATAATACGTATTATGGATGCCTCATTATAAACCTTACAAGGAAAGCTCAATGGGACAAAACCTTGTGAGGGAAAAAGAGTACATCGCGTATTAACTCCCCCTAATCACAACATCAATTCAGAGACTAGAATCTTCGTTTTCCAAGCTTGTGCACAATCTTCTTAAAACTTGTAGTTGGTAGAGACTTGGTGAATAAATCAACAATAATATTACTTGAACAGACGTCTTGCATGTTGATATCATCATTCTTGGGAGCTTATGAGTGTAGAAAAAAACTTGACGAAATATGCTTGCTTCTATTTGCTTTTATAAATCTTCCCTTCTGGGTCAAAGCTTTCTAATAGTTCCTTATTTCAACTTCTTTAAGTAAATAATCTATTGCCAAGAGTTTCAATTCTAGCCATCAACTTGCATAATAACACTTATATATGCTCTAGGCATTTTGAATCTATTTAATCCTTATGACAATGATAAACAAGTTTTTCAAAACTTGTATATGCTTTAGATTTTGAACACATTGATATATTTTCATATCAATTTTGTCAAGTGACAACATTCAATATGAGATGAATGACATCTTCTAGTGCCTAGATTGCAAGGCAAATAAGTTTTACGCTTACCAAGATGCATTATTTCACTTTTCACTTGATAATTGTTTCTACATCAACATGCTTTAATAGATGTAGAATTCATATCCTCGTAATCTTTTACCATACTGTGCGCTATCGTATCAAAGATATCTTTAATGATATATCGTGTTGCTTGATTTCCAATACTGCATAACTAGTTAAGATCTCATCACTTCATTATTTTTAGGTAGATATCCCTCTCATTAGATTTTATAAAGTGTTATGTTGTAGCTCATCAGCAACACATTGTCTCCTTATTATGGTCATTTGGATTCTTTGATCCTCCCCTTTTTCAAGGATTATTTTATTTAGAATTGATTAATATATCAAGCTTCATGCATGTCGTAGACTCTATCCTTAAGGAACATTCAATAAGAGTATTTACAACACTTGTGTTGCTTCTAATCTCCCCTTTATATTGGACAAACTAACATATATCTCAATCTTTGGAGAATCTATCCTTGTGCATCAATTTATATTCATTGATTATATACTATATATCAAAATAATCAGATAAAAATATTTGGTCTCCGACCATAAATCAATTGAAAGAAATTTTGATCATAATTTATTGGTCTAATGCGTACAATTACTTTTGTATGCAATATCGTATATTATATCAACATATGAAGTTTTATTTTCATAAACAATGATTTTACTATTTGAGACATTTAGTGTCAAATCGTCTTGAGTATTTATCAATACTATCAAAATAAAGTGTCTCGACTACATATTCTGAAATTGTGCTCTTAAATCTATTATTTTTGGACAAACAATTTTGTGAATGTCAAACTGAAAGTTGACAACAAACGCACATGTGATTATCTTATTAAGGCATCTTTTTATCATATCATATGATAGAAGAACATGTTCATATTCACCTTTTATACTTTTCAGAATTTAGGAATTTAGTCTCAACTTTAGTTGATCCAATCAACTTTATCACGAGAACAAGCAACATAAAGAATTCTTGAAGAATCTTCTACTTTTTCAATGTATGTTCATTACTCAATATATACATCTTTGGGATAACCAAATTATTCATGCCAACTAATAAAATTATTAGTACTCGTAAATTTCAAGTTTACTACGTCATATGTCTTTTGCTTTAGTAAATTTCTCATTTACTATTATATGAGTAAATTTCAATTTTACCAATCCAAGAGTAACTTTCATGTTTATTTTTTTTCAAATACTTCTCCCTCTAGGAGAGTCGTGATCCCATCATTGAATGAACTAATCTGAAGAAAATTGTGCATATAAATATATTATTTGTGCCAACATTTTTGCAAACATCAAGTTGTGAGATAATAACAGGTACACATGAGACCATATATATAGTAGAAACATTTATTAGGACCATTAAATATCTAAACAATCCACTAGGTGGATGACTATGTCCACAAATATCTGTATACGTTCCTAGAACGCAGAAAATTCAATCTCAAATTTTGTTTACGATGGTCTCACAATTAGCTTGTCTTGCCAACAAGTAGTACAAAAAAATTTACTTACTTGGTCCCCAAATATGATTTGTGACCATATCCTATAAGGACTCTATACAATTAGACATTCACTGTGATACAAATATGTTTATAACAATAATGAATATGAAGTTTTAGGGGGAATTCTAATATTGAACTTTTAGAAATAAACATTTATAATTACTATTATTATTTAACAATTTGCACTTATATTTTTAAATATACTTAAAAGTAGGATATTTTAAAATTCAAATTAAATAATTATTATAGAAACTAACTAATATGTCATTCAAATTTATACTAGCTATATTTGGATAACAACGAAGTTGAATTGAATAATTAAATATATAATTAGTTTGAACAAGGGTAAGATAAATAAAAAGTTTAAATATAAAACAGTTATTTACCGTTCATATTCTCAATTCGAAATTCAAATAATTTTATAAAATAATTTTAAATAATTAAAAAATAAAATATGATAACTTCCAACAAAAAAGGGAACTACACAGACTAGGACTACAAACCCTATTCATTATAACCTTTTTAAACTACATACCCTAGGACTACATGAAATTGTTGATATAATTTGTCTTTCATATTTTCTAAGAAGTTATTTTTTTTAATTTCTACTACTAATAATATAATTTAAATAATAATAATATATTAATTCCTATTAATTTAATCTAACTTTTAAAATGTTACAAAATGCTCCAAAACGGAATTTAGAATTATTAAAAATAATGAAAAAAAACTAAATTGCACCACATGCACAGTAAATCTTCTTTTCAAATTTGAATTGAGATAAATTATTTTGTTGTGACACTACTTAAATATTTTCTCCATTACTTTATATAAATGAATATGTTAAAAGAAAAGAAAAAACACTTTTGTAACAGTTCACATACCTTTCCATTACTACACAAACCTATAATCAATAAAAATCTATTCAGATAACTTTTTATTTTATTCGTGTTTATCTTACATTTAAAAAACATGAATTATGAAGAAAAAAAACCTTCAAATAACAAATTTTTATAAATATGAAATTAAAAAAATTAGGAAATAAAAAAAATCACAATGATTGTGAATCATCAGTAAAACAAAAACTTATTCAAATTTATTTTACCTGAAGCCAACCAATTGGGAACTGATTAAATATAATATTAAAATATAAAATTAATATTAAAATATAAAATTATATTTATACCAAAAATAATAAAAGAGGTGTAATGATGTTCCAATATTTTACAATTAGTGGGATTGCCTTACAATTATGTAAATATTTTTGTGTTTTACTTCCTCCGACCATAATTATTTGTCATGTTAAGGTCATGCACACCTCTTAAGAAAATTTAATACAATGTGTAGTTTGACTGATATAATTCTATCAAGAATATCAAAAGTCTACCTAATTTTTTAATTGAACTACAATTTTAGTAAGGGCGAATTTGGGAAAAAATGATTAATTGTTTCTTGATTATTTAAATTGATAATTAATTTTTGACATCTATTTTTAGTATTCCTACCAAATAATTGTGGACGGAGAGAGTAATTTGGTGCTATGGATGGAGTAATAGTTCCTAAAATATAGGTATGCGATTAAATATGTTTTTTTCAAAAAAAAAATAACTGTTTAAAACAAAAAAAAATACCAACACTATATTATATCGAAATAAATGATGAAGTTTATATTTTTCTTGGCCTATTTTTAATCACATTTAAAAGCAAATTCAATCACTTTTAACTACTTATTAATCATAGATATTTGTTTATAATTATTCAACTAATATTTATTTGCGTATTAGTTTTTAAATAAATCCCTTCATAAATTTTATCTAAATTAATACGTTAAAGAAATATTTACATAAAGATAATTACTTCAAAATCTAATTATTGTACATGTATAAAGAGCAAATAATTAGGGAACAAATACTTTATATATACATATATATATTTCTACTATTATAGAAAAAAGCGTATTCAAAATGGCAACTTAATGTCAATAAATTTCAATTTGAGGATATATTTGACTTTTCAAGCATTAAGTAAGACGTGTCTTTTATCCTAAAATCAAATGGACACGTAGTCCATCACTTTGAAGTCAAGTTTTATCTTCCTCCAAAAAGAAAAAATCCCTACAACTTCTACACCTTTCCACTAGAACTAGAATAGTCAGCTTATTTGTTTTTCCTCTTCATCACACAACACAAATCAAAGCTGAAAGAACGAAAATTATCCGAAAGTAGAGGAGAAAGTTGGAAAAGGGGGCTATTGTTGCTTCCTCTCAGTAATGTCTGTAATTCCTTCTTCATTATGTGAAAAATAAACAAAAATTTGATATATCCTTTCGCATTTAAAAATTTTAAGAGCGATCCATTAATCTTTGATTATTCTATAGAACTTTCAATCCTAAAGTGCGGAACATCAGTAATAGTACTACTAATAATAATTGTTGCGAAAATTTCAATGCTATTATGACGACTTTCTTCTTTCTCTCACCAAATTGATAGTGGAGGAAAAATTTGACAAGTATCTTGGTTGGTTAACTTGGAGGAAAAGTGACCCTGCAATTGGTGCTTGTAGCCATTGAGGTGATTCCAGTCACTCTTGCCGAGTTGTAAGTATTACAGATCTGAGCCTCAATGTTTCATTTGCTATTATAAATTTCTTTGAACATTACACTTGTTGAATTCATATGTTAATAAGCACATGAGAATCTTTCCATTAAAGGAAAAAGACTTATCCTAGATTCAGAGCCAAATAATGAGGATTGTAGAGAGTAACGGGGAAAACTTCAAAGGTATGTTGCTCCTCTCTCTGCAATGCCCGTTATTTCAGTTCTTGTTGTGATAAATATAAATTCAATTGATATATTAAGTTCTTCAACTACCAAACCGTCCCTTAATCTTAGCTTGCTCTCTCCAAAAATTCTCAAACCCAAAGAGAGAATCAATAGCATTAGTAGTAATTACTAATAATAATTGGTGTGAAAATTCTGAGGCTATAATGATGATTTTCTTTTTTCTCTGAGAAAATCAATAGTGTACGAAAAATTGGATGCATCTCTTGGTCGAGCAATTCAAATGGCAGATTACCCTTTAATTTATACTTGAAGCCATAGCAGGAGATCACATACTCTTTTGCCGTATCAAAAGTATTATAAATATTAACTTTAATGTTTAATTTGCTTTGGATCGATTGAAAATCCCATCTTCACCTGCACAAAGTAGAGTTGAGATAACCTAAATGTCTGTTGAAATGATTTAACTATCAACAATTTGTACAGTGCAACTTGTGATTGAGTTCATAAATGTTCTTTACTTATATTTTTTCAAAGATTTATTACGTATGTGTTTGTGCATTGCAGAAATAATATATTGTAGGATTGAAAGAGAAAAGATTAATACACACCAATCCATTGGGAAAGAATATAAATTATAATATATGTTAATTTTTCCGTCGTGATTAAAGATATTTGTTTGAGAGTTCCAACTTCATATGTTTCTTGATATTCTCTTATGTCTTCTTAATATGTTTCTCCTTTGCCTACAAAAACAATTGAACGCAACTCTTTCATATGATGTTTGTACTTCAAATTAAAATGAGTAAAAGGTGAAAATAGATGATGTGTGGAGAAATGATCCTCTGCTTTTTGTTATCTTTCAGACATCTTCATTCTGAAGAAGAACATGGGAGAATGCTTGCAATACAATTGTTATGATTTTGAACATTTTGAGCCGGTATATTTGTCTTTTATTTTTTTTATGTTTCCTACATATGTATAGAAGACAAATCTCATGTTAGATATTCAGCTTGGTAGTTTTTATTAGTTGAGCTTGTCATTTTCAATCACTAATTTTCTATTGATATCAGTAATTTTGTTGCCTTAAATTCTTTGTATTCCTTCTTAGCTTATTCTCAATACTAAAAAAATTCAACTGGAGTTCTTTAAGAAGGGTCGTTGAATGAGATACAACTTTGATGAATTCCAAAAACTAATTTTGAAGGTATTTTTATTTCCACAATCCTCATTTGATCACGAGAATTGTTAACTAGCCAACATTCATTCTGGTAATATAGTCGGTCCAAATATCAATTTATTTGGCTGAATAATTCTTGAAGGTTTGTTATCTCCTCAGGTATTTCTATTAGTTGTGTTATTTTGTGGAGTTTAAGTTGAGTTTCATTGTTGCGCGTTGCTTAATCTATGTGTCTTAGGTGGGTTAGGAAACCTGATGTCAAACCCCTACAGATAATCAAAGACTACCCTGTCTACATGCACATTCTTTTTTCAAGTTCTTGATTACATTGATCGGTGATTATTTCTTCTACAATATTCATTAGGTATTGATATTCTATCAAGTTATTATTAGCTTGAGTTATCCAAGTTGCTTTAAACTAATTGTTTGAATGACACAAGGTATAATCTTGCAGTTATACCATTTATACAAGACGATAACTCTATGAATGACACAAGGAAAAATCCTACAGCTATACCGTTCATAAAAGAGGCTAACTATTTGAATGACTGACACAAGGTAAAAATGTTGCAGCTATACTATTGATATGACCTACAAAGTCTTGCATCAAATATTGCAGATAGATAAAATTTTCTTTTCCACATGCACAAGCTTGAGAGGAGTTTTTTCTTTTCAGTTACTCTTTGTGCGCGTTATAGTGAACTTTATTTATGCTGCTGAAATCATTATTTCATCATAACTAAGAACGAGTTACAAAAGAATAGTAATTTAATTCGGCTCTACTAATTATAGGATTCACTTTTATCCTAAAAATATGATGTGGGTGAATTACTCGCTCACACTTCCTCCTTCACAATTTGGAGATGAATATTTCCTCTAGGCAGGGTCTTTATGTGTTTGCTTTTACTATAATGACTTTGACAGAATGATGGCAAAATTATATTTATTAAGAGTGATTGCTAATTCTACTTCGTAATGAACTCTCCCTTTCTTTTGTTATGTTTTTTTTTTGCTTCTTTTTAATTGATAAGTTTTTAAACCTTCTTAAATTATCCTTGGTATTAAAGAGTTTGTTGTGTTGTAACAATTAAGCTTATCATGTATATGATCAATTGCTTATTGATTGTAATTCTTCTAGGCAGAGTCCCAATACCCATACCTAGACTAGGCTAGACCTCTTAGGTTATCCAAGTTAGAGTTCATGTCCTTTAATTCATTTTACCTTTTGATAACATCTTGCCCTAACCGACATAGACCACATGAGCTAGTGTGGAATCTCGTATAAGAAAGCTCTACATCGAAAGAAAGCGGACTATTTTCCAAGGTAGTACCAAAACAAAAAACATAGAAACTACGTGGATCTACTAGCTAATATTCCTATGCGGGAAACATAGTTCAAGAACTATGAGATTTATTTGTGACCCTCTTTACGCGCCATGCATTATAGTCTCTAATCTCGAGAGTAATATAGTGTTCCTACCTCCCCTATATGGAAGGGACACTCCTCTATCTAGTTCACTCGGTGCTAAGCTGGAGTTCCTTTTTGAAATGTCTTTAAGCCTTTAATTACCATTCATAACTTAATTTAGGTCATATGCTCTACCCCTTGCATATTCATCATCATCAATAACTCAATAAGAATTGTATGAGTATAAGTCCTTTCATCACAATTCATAAAAGTGAGGTTAACACAATAGTGCTTCATAACATATTAAGGCACATTGATAGTTTTCACCATCCTTATGCACATACACCTTAATGAACCTCACCACATAGTCAAGACATTTCAATTCAACATAATACCACCCTAGAGTCCTAGTACAAGGCATACTCCAAACGTAATATCATGACTTAACAACAATTAATCACAATTAGAAGTAAAGGTAGAGATTCTAAGACTTACCAAGTCTTCTCAAAGTATATCATCAAGATATTATCATCAACCCAACTTGGTGAGTACCATCATCACACAATGATAACCAATAGAATAACAAGGCCAATTGTATCTCTATAATACAATTCATTTTTAGATCACAACAGGAGACAAGGTACGCAGGCTAATTTCACATTATAATTCATAACCTAAACCACATCTCAAGAACTAGCATGATAGGCCTATAATTCATCTAAATTTAATAAAAATATCACCATAGGATAGTAATCTAATCAACAACAAACTTAATTGAATAATCACCATACAATATAGGTCAAGGTCGCCACCTAGGGTTAGGGATAGAGGATCATATTCTTCAATTTAGACTAAACCATAAACAATTACAATAAAAAAGTTGAATTACATGTTAATATACTCAATATAACCCTAAGAATTCATTAACAACTCAATCCCGAATTTCAATTTCGTAATTAAATGAAACCCATAAGAAAACTCAACTTTTTGATATCTATTTTGAAAGAACCCTTTAAGGAAAGAATCTCAAAGGTGAATAGAACCATACTTTAATGTTTTTCAACAATTTGATGAAGAATCCACCCTTTTTACATCCCCCAAACTCTAGTTCTTGCTAGCCTTCAATGGTGAGTTCTCGTAGAGAGAAATAAGAGAGAAGGAAGAGAGTTTATTTTGAGAGTTGTCTTTAGGTTAATGAGGATTAAGGGTATTCATAGTAGGGATTATTTAACTTAATTAGTCTCCCTTTAGTTTTAACTAACCCCTAAACCACTTAATTACTTAAATAAAGTCATTTAAAATTTAATAGTGAAACTCGACCCTCACCGACGAGATCCCAATCGACGTTTCGTTGGTGAGTCAACGGACAACCCCCCCCCCCTACGTCTTGCACTCCGTCGTATCGGTCAGAGACTTTGCAGGCAAGGGCTTTCTCCAATTTTTCTAATTGTGGGATGACAGTGGCCTTGACTCCCCGTCGAGCCACTGATGCCCCCGTCAACCCCCTTTCGTCGCGTGTAACAGTATCTAGGTAAGCAAGAGACTACAACCGTCGTTTGTCCCATCGATGCACATTGCCAGGCAGTGCTGCATCAAATTGCAGGGGTCCTCCTTAAGGGCCCTTGGTTGTTCCTAGGGGAGTCGTGCCCATACGTTTCAATGATGAAACAAATCAAACACTTATTAGATACCTTTCCACACATTTTCGTACATTGTTGACTCCTAAAAGTTAGTAAAAAGGCTAAGGCACACTAACATCTTTTGAACCAACTTTCTGGATGTTTTGGTTCTTAAACCTTCTAAATGACCTATATTCATTAAAATGGACTTAGAAACAGTGTTTAGACTTTACGACACCTATATTTGTCCTTACAATGAGTCTTGGATTTTCAAGGTGTTATATTATCCCACCCTTTTAGGAACATTCGTCTCCGAATGACACTAAAATTCTTTTGAAGGAAGGAATAGACCCAAGACTAGCAGCCCAACCAATCAACAATATCCATTTAACAATAAATCATGTCACTTCAACAAGACAAATATCAAAACTCATATTACCACACCTAAGGCTCAAAACGCTTCTTCATGAGGCATTTCCTTCTCACAACACTTATGAGCTCAACATACATCACATGAGACAATTAGCACAAAGTTCAACTTAACAACATGTTACTTATCATTTTATGAAGACTCGTCATATCCAAAATGCACAAGATAAATCAAAGCAGGTAAAAAGTAAAATTTCATGTTTTTAATAGCAATACTACAGTGATTTCACAATAAAACTTACTGTGAGGTTTTCAAAAAATTCCCCTTTTTTGTAATACTTCACCCAAAAATCAAGAAACTTCAATTTCTAATCATATTTATAATATTAAAAAGAATGACTAACCTTAATTCTCAAAAAAATGAGGGTAATGGGTCTTCATGTCGGCCTCGGCCTCCCCTGTTTCACCCTCAACTAGATGATTTTTTCATAACACCTTTACGAAAACCACCTCTTTATTCCTCAATTTCTTGACTTGCCTATCAAGAATTTGAACCGGGAGTTCCTCATAAGAGATTTTATCCTTGGCACCAAGACCTTCAATAGGAAGAATGGACTCGGAATCACCGATACACTTTTTCAACATTGAAACATGGAAAACCGGATGAACCGAAGACAATTCACTAGGAAGTTTCAATTCATAGGAAACCTTGCCAACCCTTTGCAAGAATTCAAGGGACCCACATAACGAGGACTCAATTTCCCTTTCTTGCCAAACCTAACTACCCCTTTCATTGGTGAAATTTTTAAATACATCTTATCACCTTCTTGAAACTGCAAATCACCTCTCCTATTATCGGCATAACACTTTTGCCGACTATAGGCCGTTTGCAACCGGTTCCTTATGATATGAAACTTTTCCAAAGTCTTATAAAGCAACTCAGGACCAAAAAGTGATGGCTCACCCACTTCAAACCATCCAATAGAAGACCTACACCTCCTACCATACAAGGCTTCATAGGGAGCCATGGATATGCATGAATGAAAACTATTGTTGTAGGCAAACTCCACTTAAGGTAAATGCCTATACCAACTCCCTTTAAAATTAATAATGCAATTTCTAAGCATATATTCAAGGGTTTGTATCGTACAGTCCGCTTGACCATCCATTTGGGGATGAAAAGCGGTGCTCAACTTCACTGTAGTACCTAGCCCTTTTTGAAACGACCTCAAAAATCTAGATGTAAATTATGCGCCCCGATCGAATATGATAGATAACGAAATGCCATGATGACACAAAATATCATCTAGGAAGTTTCTTGCGTAATCCTCCGCCGAATATAAAGACTTGACGGGGATAAAGCGCGCGGATTTAGTCAGTTGATCCACAACCACCCATATGGAATAATAGGACTTTTGGGTCCGGGGTAAACCTACTACAAAGTCTATATTGATGTCTTTCCACTTTCAAGCTGGAATTTGGATCTCTTGTAGTTAGTCACCCGAGTTTAGGTGTTCGGCCTTTACTTGTTTGAAATTCAGACATTTAGCAACAAATTTCCCTTAGGTCATGGTACATTTTTGTCGACCACAGATGAAGTGAGTAGTGGGACCCATGTGCTTCTTCAAAGATCCGATCCCTCAACCCATCAACATTGGGAACACATAATCTCCCTTGGTACCTTAACACACCATCCCCCTTAGGAGAATGATTCATTCAACTCGCCAAGAACCGATTCTTTCAACTTCACTAAGGCTAAATCAAGGTGTTGTTTGGACTTTACCTCAAACCACTAAAGATGACTCAGAGTTATGATGAACTACAGAACCCCCATGCGGAGAACTCTCTAACCTCACCCCCAACCTAACCAACCTATGCACATCCCTTGTTAGGTCATTTTTGGCTTCATCAAGATGGGATACACTACCCATAGTTATCCGACTTAAGGCATCCGCCACTACATTAGCCTTTCCGGGGTGATAAATGACACTCATACTATAATATTTCAATTACTCAAGTCACCTTATTTGTCGGAGATTTAACTCCTTTTGGGTAAACACATACTAGGGACTCTTATGATCGGTAAAAACATCTACATGAACCCCATACAAGTAATGCCTCCAAATTTTTAAAGCAAACAACACGGCTGCTAATTCAAGGTCATGAGTGGGGTAATTTCCCTTGTGTAACTTTAGTTGACTAGAAAAATAAGCTATCACCTTACCGTTTTTCATAACCACAAACCTACTCAGGATGCATCACAATACACCACGAAGTCTTAGTACCCTCTGATAAGGTCAACATCGGAGCGGAAATAAGCCTATCTTTCAAAAATTCGAAGATCTTTTCACATCCCTGAGACCACTCAAACTTTTTACTCTTTTGTGTCAAAGTAGTCAAAGCAGATGCAATGGACGCGAAACCATCCACAAACCTCTGATAGTAACCCGCTAAACCAAAGAAACTCTTGATATCAGTCGGAGTCAATGGTCTAGGCCAATTTCTCACCGCTTCTATTTTCTTTGGGTCTATTTCAGCTCCCTCACTAGAA